TTAGGTATGAAGGCCAGCTGGGTGAACGTTGGGCCAGCCACCAGGAGGCAGTGAGTTCTAGTCTCACTTTAGGTATGAAGGCCAGCTGGGTGAACGTTGGGCCAGCCACCAGGAGGCAGTGAGTTCTAGTCTCACTTTAGGTATGAAAGCCAGCTGGGTGAACGTTGGGCCAACCACCAGGAGGCAGTGAGTTCTAGTCTCACTTTAGGTATGAAAGCCAGCTGGGTGAACGTTGGGCCAGCCACCAGGAGGCAGTGAGTTCTAGTCTCACTTTAGGTATGAAAGCCAGCTGGGTGAACATTGGGCCAGCCACCAGGAGACAGTGAGTTCTAGTCTCACTTTAGGTATGAAAGCCAGCTGGGTGAACATTGGGCCAGTCACCAGGAGACAGTCAGTTCTAGTCTCACTTTAGGTATGAAAGCCAGTGGGTCACTTTGGGCTAATCACTAGGAGGCCTTCTGTTTAAAGGGGGTTCTTCACAGCTTTAGGATGCCAGATCCAATTCCCACCCAGCCTTCTTCTCCGTTAGCTCAGATAGAGCAGTTACATTTTCCTATATCTTAGAACCCAAAGGTACTTTTTCCAAAAGGCATGTGGAGTTTCTTGTTTTTTTTTTTTAATGTTTCATTTCATCCAAGAAGCTCCTTTCGTTCTAAGGTTTTCCTTAGATAAGAAGTGAAAACATTTTCAAAGAAATAATCTAGAAAGTACAGTTGCCTTTGGGGGGAAAAAAAACCACCTTTGGGACATTCTAAGATCTGAATGATTGAGAATCTCCACATGCATATAGCTTAGAACCTTGCAGATCAGCAGCCCTGATGCCGTTTAAGCCTTACCTCTGGCTCACCCTGGGCCGAGAAAGCACTATAGGGTGGGACAATGTCTTCAACGGTCTCATATCCTGCAGGAACAGGCTCAGAGAGTGATGAGTTGAAAATCTATATAGTAAAGAAGGCACAAGAGGGGGAAATGGCATATAAAAGCAACATCTGATTCATCCAACTTGGGTGTGGGCAAAAGTTTAGAATGGAATGGAGTGGAGTGGAATGGAGCAGAACAGAATGGAGCAGAACGGAGCGGAATGGGATGGAATAGAATGGAGTGGAGTGAAATGGAATGGAACGGAGCGGAGCGGAACAGAATGGAGCAGAACGGAGTGGAATGAGATGGAATAGAATGGAGTGGAGTGGTGTGGAATGGAACAGAGCGGAGCGGAACAGAACGGAGCAGAACAGAGCAGAATGAGATGGAATAGAATGGAGTGGAGTGAAAGGGAATGGAACAGAGCGGAATAGAATGGAGCAGAACGGAGTGGAATGGGATGTAATAGAATGGAGTGGAGTGGTGTGGAATAGAACAGAGCAGAGCGGAACAGAACAGAGCAGAACGGAGTGGAATGGGATGTAATAGAATGGAGTGGAGTGGAGTGGTGTGGAATGGAACAGAGCGGAGCGGAACAGAACGGAGCAGAACAGAGCGGAATGGGATGGAATAGAATGTAATGGAGGGGAGGGGAGTGGAGAGGAGAGAGTGGACAGGAATAGAAGATAACAGAAAAGAACAGAAGGGAACAGAACAGAACAGAATAATAACTTTATTGTCACTTTGAATGTACACTAATTGGCATACATTAAAGTGAAATTTCATTGCATACAACAAGGTTCACCATCTCCAATATACACTATATAATAGAATAAATCAATAAATTACAGATTTATAGAGGGAGGGGGTGATGGAGGGGTTTGAGGGAGGGGGTGGAGATTCATTTAAGAAACAGATGAGGGCATCTGTGAAGGGCCCATCAAAATGAAGCCAATTTAGCTAAACTCTCAAAACAATGGCTGTGTTTGTTTAGCATATAATGCCCAATGAATCTCTGTGATGGCTTTGTGTAATTATTAAGGCAAGGGTCTCAAAACTTAGCCCTTTTAAGACTCATGGACTTCAACCCCCAGAATTCCTCAGCCAGCATGGCAGGTTGAGGGATTGTGGAAGTTGAACTCCACAAGTCTTAAAGTGGCCAAATTCATTCTTTTCTAGAAGCCAAGGTCATCTTTTGTCTCCGCACTTTTACACCTGACCGGAAACAGCTGGGTGGAGACGCCAGCGTGGAAGAAGAAGATTGAACCAGCCCAAAGGAATGGGCGGAAAGTGGGGCCCAAGGAGGCCGAATACGGGGCATGTAGAGGCCAAAATGGGGGCACGGACGCGGCAATAGATGATAGCAATCCCTGCAGCCTGAAACATCTGGTGGTCAGGAAGCCGATCCAACCAACAATCAGCTGCTTGTGCTAATCAGGCTGTGTTGAAGCTGAAACAGGCTGTTTGCTGCAAAGAGGCGAATTGCTGGGAGGCAGAGGCCAAAGGGTGGGAGCCAGCGGGTGGGCAGGGCTACATTCGTTGTATAAGACGCACCCAAATTTTCAACCTCCTTTAGGGGGGGAAGTGCATCTTATACTTTGAAAAATACAGTACTTAAAAACTGCACGACACATTTAATGTCCATGGCGATTCGCTCAACGGCCACGATAAAAACGGTTGCAAAGTTGGGTTCTGGTCATGTGATCCCACATTTAATGACCACATCACTTAGCAATGGAAATCTCCATTATGGTTCATAAGCCGAGGAATGGCCCCTATACAACCCCATATTAGCCTATTGCATCTGGTTGTGAAAATTACTCTGTATACATAATCCAGCCCCCCCTCCTTTACCTCTTGGCCACGCTCATCAATGAGCGAGATATAATTAGGATTCGTCTTGTTGGGGTAGGAAAGCAGAACATCGTAAGGAGCCATTTGGACCGAGTCTAAGCCAAATGCTTTCCAGTTGGCTTGTATCTGTTCAGCTAGGCGTAGATTCTCCTGCGTGCCAGCCAAGTGAGGCTGCTGGGTGAAATTGCTAGAAGAAAGAAGATGGCATTATTGGCCTGATAGTAGAAAAAACAGAGGTGTGTTCCAACCGGTTCGACCGAGTAGGTAGTAACTCGGCCAGCCACGCCCCTGGCACCATCTTGATTTTTAGTTCTGCGCATGCGCAGAACAATCTTTATTGCAAAAGATGTATTTTTTCCCCTTTTCTAATGTGCACATGCACGGAACTTTTTAGGTGCAAATGCGCATGCATGAGGAGCTTACGTTTGGTGTGCGTGCACACACAAAAAAATTGCGCACAGAACCAGCAGCAATGCTAGCAGCAATCCACCCCTGTAGAAAACATATTTTTCTTTATATCTGGGTAGACGGTTATAATTCTTTTTTTTTTACTTACAATACAATACAATACAATACAATACAATACAATACAATACAATACAATACAATACAATACAATACAATACAATACAATACAATAC